TGGAATTAGAGGTCTGAACACTACTGTAGTTCTGAAGTAGCTACAGATGTTGGAATTAAGAGGTCTGAACACTACTGTAGTTCTGAAGTAGCTACAGATGTTGGAATTAAGAGGTCTGTACACTACTGTTGTTCTGAAGTAGCTACAGATGTTGGAATTAGAGGTCTGTACACAACTGTAGTTCTGAAGTAGCTACATAAGTTGGAATTAGAGGTCTGTACACTAATGTAGTTCTGAAGTAGCTACAGAAGTTGGAATTAGAGGTCTGTACACTAATGTAGTTCTGAAGTAGCTACAGAAGTTGGAATTAGAAGTCTGTACACTACTATAGTTCTGAAGTAGCTACATAAGTTGGAATTAGAAGTCTGTACACTACTGTAGTTCTGAAGTACTACAGAATTTGGAATTATAGGTCTGTACACAACTGTAGTTCTGAAGTAGCTACAGATGTTGGAATTAGAGGTCTGTACACTAATGTAGTTCTGAAGTAGCTACAGAAGTGGAATTAGAGGTCTGTACACTACTGTAGTTCTGAAGTAGCTACAGAAGTTGGAATTAGAGGTCTGAACACTACTGTAGTTCTGAAGTAGCTACAGATGTTGGAATTTAGAGGTCTGTACACAACTGTAGTTCTGAAGTAGCTACAGATGTTGGAATTAGAGGTCTGTACACTAATGTAGTTCTGAAGCAGCTACAGAAGTTGGAATTACAAGTCTGTACACTACTGTAGTTCTGAAGTAGCTGCAGAAGTTGGAATTACAAGTCTGTACACTATTGTAGCTATGAACTAGCTACAGAAGTTGGAATTACAAGTCTGTACACTATTGTAGCTATGAACTAGCTACAGAAGCTGGAATTAGAGGTCTAATACTCCATTATCTTGTAAGAATTTCTTGAAAGCTTTTAGTAGTTTAAAGGACCTTTCCGATAATGAAACCAAAAAAACTTTACTACTCAACATTCAAAAGTATAAGTTAGTTGGCTTATAATACCTGTTAAATGTCTCCTTGTGATCACAGTTTCATTTATATGCAGTTCACCAATATCCAACACCTATATGCTGAGTGCTGACTGTGATAGTAATTTCTGGAGTAGACTCCTTGTTGTCTTCCAATGTTATTGCTATTTTCGGTGTAAAATGAGTTGACAGAGAAACACCGTACCTTTGTCGTTCGTGCACCTTAAATTACGTGTAGCATTAAAAATACTTTACATTAACTGAACTAACTAGTAAACGATTTTTATAAGTGCTAATGAAATTTGTTGTTAGTTATTTATCATGGGTTCTGCATGTATTAATGATATGTGTAAAAAAAAAACATATTGACTTGGATAGAATTAGCTATGAAATTAGAAAACACACAGTTTCACTTAATTCCTTAGGTGTAGAAAGTGAAACATTGTTTTAACATTATATGAAATGACAACGTAACTTGGAATACAAGAATGATAGCTTTTCGTAACAACACAGTTTTATTTTATTCTGTCTTTTATTTTACCAAAAATGTTTTCAACATTGGTAAAATTTCTATTTTACTCAAGCCTCATGTAGATTTCAGTGTCTTATTGTATTTTATTTTTATCAATTTGTTTCACAACCTTCTACATATTAATAAGCTATAATAGATCGACCATATCAAATATACAGCCACAAATGTTTTATTTTTCACCTTAGTAAGAAATAATATAAAAAAAATGTGGAAAGATAAGTACAAGTAAAATGATTTTTGGGAAATATTTTAAGTTTGAAATATCACATAAAAAAGAACAAATTGAAATTTTAGACACAGCTGATATCATATTGTAATTGGGTTTGTTGCTTTTTTTTTCGAAATTTTGTCCAAACTAGAAGAATGTTACTTCACTTGAAATATTGTTATACAACAGGCAGCCTCAAGTTTATTGAAAACTTCAAAGCAAGGCAGAAGCGAGTCAATTGAAAACTTCAAAGCAAGGCAGAAGCGAGTCAATTGAAAACTTCAAAGCAAGGCAGAAGCGAGTCAATTGAAAGCTTCAAACAAGGCAGAAGCGAGTCTGTTGAAAACTTCAAACAAGGCAGAAGCGAGTCTGTTGGAAACTTCAAACAAAGCAGCCCAGAGTCTGTTGACAACTTCACACAAGGCAGTCCAGAGTCTGTTGAAATCTCCAAACAACGGAGTCCAGAGTCTATTGACAACTTCAAACAAAGCAGACAAAAGTCTGTTGACAACTTTGAACAAGGCAGCTCAGAGTCTATCAACAACTTCAAACAAGGCAGTCCAGAGTCTGTTGACAACTTCATAAAACAACAACAACAACGCACTACAGGGGTTTATTCTGCAATTTTGTGTTACATTAAATGTTAAGATATGATAGCTATAAAACTTGGCTGATAAAAACAAGACGAAAGATCGAGCCATGAAAAGAAGGACCTGCCAAAAAATCGCCAGAAACAAAATAGAGTGATATAAATTCACATATTTTTATTATTCAATTCAAAGAGAATGTGCTGAAAATGTTTAGTTATGTTACTGTCCAGCTAGACAGAAAGACTCTGCGAGTCAGCCTTAAATTCAAAGTAACTTTCTCAGTTCTCCCCAAAAACAAAGCAGTTAAAACCTATAGATTATGTCAACCTTCTATTAAACAACGAAAACTTAAACATGAGCGTAAATACGAAGGAAGAGACTACTGTAAGTAAGGTATACTGTTATTATATTTATTATAATTACAATAAGCAGGAACGTTAGTTGATTTATAAGGTGATGGTACTCGGTGGTTTAAACGGAGTGCAACGAGGGGATAAAACTTTGGACCCTGCTTCTTGACGTCTTTTGTTCTCTAGATATTTAGCCTTGAGCTCTCCTAGTTCTCTCATCTCTTCCATCTCTTGTTCCTAAGAACAATAAAAACATACAAGAACATAACCCCATCTCGTCTGAAAGTACCAGGACAAGTAGGTGAACACAAAGAAAATGTATCACTTTTAAAGACAAATATCTATTGCTCACACTCATTCTGAAGTAGCTTTTGTATAGTCACAACTCTTTGTTCATTCACAAGGAAAGAATGTTTGAGGCTATCAAGCTTTCCTCTTGAGTTACAGCATGTTCACCTAACTGTGTTGTATTGAATTGTGACTTGTGTTTCCTTCTATAAGTTCTCAGCATCGCAGCTACGTCAACGATAGAGAATGTTAGTTTTATATTAATTTATGTGTTGGACACACTTTGCTTATCCGTAAACTTTTCTACCTTTTAATAAATTATTTCATATTATACAGAGTATGTAGACTATCGAATGGTTATATTATAGTGATCACAAATATGTTGATATGTTCTGTTATTGGATATACTATTGGGATTACAAATATGTTTATACGTTCTGTTTTTGGTTATACTATTGGGATTACAAATATGTTTATATGTTCTGTTATTGGATATACTATTGGGATTACAAATATGTTTATATGTTCTGTTATTGGATATACTATTGGGATTACAAATATGTTTATATGTTCTGTTATTGGATATACTATTGGGATTACAAATATGTTTATATGTTCTGTTTTTGGTTATATTATAGTGATCACAAATATGTTTACGTGTTTTGTTATTGGTTATACTATTGGGATTACAAATATGTTTATATGTTCTGTTATTGGATATACTATTGGGATTACAAATATGTTTATACGTTCTGTTTTTGTTTATACTATTGGGATTACAAATATGTTTATATGTTCTGTTTTTGGTTATATTATAGTGATCACAGATATGTTTATATGTTCTGTTTTTGGTTATATTATAGTGATCACAAATATGTTTACATGTTTTGTTTTGGGTTATATTATAGTGATCACAGATATGTTTATATGTTCTGTTTTTGGTTATATTATAGTGATCACAAATATATTTACATGTTTTGTTTTGGGTTATACTATTGGGATTAAAAATATGTTTATACGTTCTGTTTTTGGGTATATTATAGTGATCACAAATATGTTTATATGTTTTGTTATTGGTTATACTATCGGGATTACAAATATGTTTATACATTCTGTTTTTGGTTGTACTATTGGGATTACAAATATGTTTATACGTTCTGTTTTTGTTTGTACTATTCGGTTTACAAATATGTTTATATGTTCTGTTATTGGTTATATTACAATGATTATAAATATTGTTACAACAGTGGGGTCACGTGACGAGTATTCTAGAAGATTCGCTAGTGTGTTACGACAGCGGAGTCACGTGACGAATATTCTAGAATATTCGCTAGTGTGTTGCGACAGCGTTGCGTCAAATGACGCTGGTAGCACGTGTTGGGAGTCTTAGAAGTTTCTAGAACAGGCAGTATTATCGTATGTAAGTGCACTAGACAGTGAGAGAGACAGACGGAGTTGAACCATAGTGGAGACAAAGATAGAAACGGAGTCGAAGCAGTAGTGGAGACAGAGAGGAGGCAGAGAGAAAGAAAGACAGTGATTACGGTCGGCGGGAACTGAGGATAGCAGACACAGAGATCGGAACTATAGTTGGCAGGGACGGACAATTAAGTCTAAGCGCGATAGAAAGTGAGTGGATTGTTGTGAACTATAGTGTGTGTGTAACTGTGAAAATTAAGTATATTAAAAAGTTGCATTGAGGAAGAATAAACAAGTTTTATAAAGAAAGGACTTGTATCTTAGAAGAATTAACAAACAAACATACAGAGACGTAACAATATATTCTGCTGTAGGTTATATTACTGGGATTACAAATATGTTAATATGTTCTGAAGATTTAATCGTTAACTGGTTAAATTCCATTGTTAAGATGTGAACATTTTATATTAACTGATGCAAAATTATTTTACCCATTTTTAAGGAGAATAAAGAAACCTTTACATTAAAACTGTTTCAATCAGCTGTGGTTGTATTCAGAAATGTTGAATGATGAAGTTAATGAGTTTCATTAGATTGTGGTGATTCTATAAAATAATATGTACATAACAAGTTATAGTGCAGAAAGTATTGGTAAAAAATCTGTAAAGTAATCAAATAGAAAAATATTTATATTACATTACATTATTTTTATTAAACATAAACCTCATTTGTAATGAAGTAATTATAGAATGGTCTAATCTATGTCTTATACACTTCATGTTATATGGTAAAGTTCCATGTCTTATACACTTCTTGTTATATGGTGAAGTTCCATGTCTTATACACTTCTTGTTATATGGTAAAGTTCTATGTCTTATACACTTCATGTTATACAGTAAAGTTCCATGCCTTATACACTTCTTGTTATATGGTAAAGTTTCATGCCTTACACACTTCATGTTATATGGTAAAGTTCCATGTCTTATACACTTCATGTTATATGGTGAAGTTCCATGTCTTATACACTTCTTGTTATATGGTAAAGTTCCATGTCTTATACACTTCATGTTATACAGTAAAGTTCCATGCCTTATACACTTCTTGGTATATGGTAAAGTTCCATGCCTTATACACTTCATG